GGGTTTGTGCCGCAGCCTCTCACGGGGTGTCGCTCTTCGTTGCAGCGCGATGGGAACGGTGGTGCTGGATGGCCAGATCTACGTGTGTGGCGGCTACGATGGAACCTCATCCCTCAACTCCGTGGAGTCCTATTCTCCAGAAACAAACAAGTAAGAGCCCTTCATGCCCTGCAGCTTATCCATCCGTTTGCTGCTAGAGTAGTGCCGTGGCACTGCTGCGACTCCGGGCTCTAAAAGGAACACAGTGAACGATGCGGAAAAGCCTTTCTAACTTGGCAGCGGAGCAGCGTCCCTCCTCGCAAGAGTTTACCTCGGTGCAAGCCAACAAAACCATGGTTTAAATAAAATAGGCGGTGAATGGAGAGTTATGGGATAATACGGTCCTAATAAATCCGATCGAATTGAAATAATCCGCGCGCGCCGTGCCTGCGGGCCCCTCGCTAACCTCTCCCTTCTCCCGGCAAGGTGGACGGTGGTGACCCCCATGAGCTCCAACCGCAGTGCCGCTGGAGTCACCGTCTTCGAGGGCCGCATCTACGTATCGGGAGGGCACGACGGCCTGCAGATCTTCAACAGCGTAAGTCTGCGGGGGGCACGGGTTCCTTGTGCAGAAATTAATGGGCTGCGGGTAGCCGAAAGGTCAGGCCGGGGCTGGGATGGCTCTGTGCCCTTTCCCTCTGCGCCCAAAGGGCCGTGAGTGTTTGCACCACCAAATTGTGTCATTTCACGGGCCCCTCTTGGTCGGGAAGAAACGAGCTAGCCGGGTACCGGAGCCAGACTGGAAGCGCTGCTCATCTTCCCCAGCACCAAAAGAATCGAGCTGGTGTGTTTTCTTGTCTCCCTACTTCTTCCTTTTTTAAATCATTTTATCGTTGCCTCTCTTTGAGCTCTAAAGTATCCCAGATGTCAGGCTCTTGGCTCTGCTTTCTGTGCCTGTTCCACGGCTTCGCTTTCAGAAAGGGATTATCTCTGACAGAAGCTTCACAGCAGGGGGAGTTGGTGATACGAGGCCAGCTTGCCCTCTCCCACCTGCTCCGCCTTTCCATTTTTTTTCCTGCTTGTTCTATAAAGAAAAACCTGATGCAGAACAGACCAGACTCAGCAGCGAGAATGCGGGGAGCAGTATCTGAATTGGATCCGTTACTAACGCGCTGCTCTCAGAAATTTGTAATAAAGCCTTTGTTGGAAGCAGCAATAACTATTTCTGCCTTGCTCAGCACATCAGGGACAGGCTGTTGTCTGCAGCCTGAAGCACCCCGCAGCCAAGAACTACAAATCTACTTGTCTGAGCTCGTTCCTGAGCGTGACGAGTTTGGAGCGGTGCGGGAGCCCTTGCAGAAGGGATTTGTCTAAAGGCCTCTCTAGAAACACAAGGGATTGGGGTTGGGTTTTTTTTCCCCCCTGAGGTGCCAGATAGTCCTTCTACAAAGAGGGAGGAGATGTCAAGAGGTGGAAGAGTGGAGGAGGTTTCTGGAAAAGGAAGGGAAGAAACCCTGCCCTTTGCCACGGGGTGCGGGACGTAGGCTCGGACTACGTCGGGAGTGGTGGTTGTCCGATGTGAGAAACCGGGAAGTTTGAAGTGTTACAGCTGGAATCTGCTGCCTGGAGGGAGTGGGGAGTCTCGCTTAGGGTGAGGGGACGCGTAGGGGATCGCTAAGGACAGCTTGGGCGCGCACCGGGTCTGACGGAGCTTTGGCTGGCTCCGCCTTGGGGCAGCGGCGTGATCTTGGGTGCGTGAGGAAAATTAATACGTTGAAATCAAGACGCAGTCCCATAGGAATTGAACTTCTAATTGGAGGGTGCTCAGTCCTTTTGGTGCTGAGGCTCAGGTACTTGTTTAAAACACCACGCAGAAGCTGAGGAAGGGGGGGGAGGTAGAGGGAACACCATCAACGCTGCGTTCGCTGTGGTCTCTCCCCATTCACCTCCTCCAGCTCGCCAGTGAGTTATGGGGCTGAGGTCGGAGGGAGCGGGGTGAAACGCTACGGCTGGTGCGATCCAGGACGTTAGAAAAGCTTAATAACAATCTGAAATCAAGACCCAACCCCCAAATTCCCCAGCCAGCTTGCGGTCACCTGTTAAAAGGGCCCGTGTGATCTGGGGTGGGGGTCTCGGCGAGGTTCCCCCAACGC